GAATATATATATATATATATATATATATATATTAAAAAGTGTGCTTGATAGTTCCCTTCTTTGACCACTTCACGTATTATACAGAAATTATTTAAAATAAAGATTACTTCAAAATAAAGATCTCTCATGTTCAGCAAAAATGGGAATAGTTATTTCATTATGTCCTAATATTTTAGAACAATTATATTTTTATTCCAATTTTGTTTTCTCCTCTCTATTAATTGTTTTAAAATGATGTACTTTGTCAGTGAAATGAAAGAATCTTGTAGCACCTGGAATAATAAATTGCACTTTCTACATTTCACATCCCTTTGCCTTAAGCATTTAAAGTCCCCCAGGCGCCATGTATCTCTATGTGTTTGTGTTTTAACAGTCATGATTTTTCTCAAATTGGCTTCTCATCCATGAATATTTGCTAGTCCTGAAGAATCTGTATGGCTCTTGCTTTTGGTACAACAAACCAAGATCTGCCTCCTCTGGAACATGCAGTTCCCTTAGTTGAGGTCAGACACCAAGTTCGCAAACACACACTTTTATTTTGTCCAGCAGATGTCACCATTCTCCTGGCTACATCACTTATTGGATTTATACCAACAATTTCTTGGTTATAGTCCCCTTATGTAATTCCTCTTGTGTTCCAACTAACTATAAAATCAAAACATACCTATTCTGGATCTTCTGATTCTCAAGCAGAAAGGCTGCACAATTGTCAGTCTCCATCCAAGTGGTGGAATTATCCAAAGTAGTATCAGTCCTAGGCTGGTCTCTGTCCCTCCTTCCTATTCCCTTTGTCCTTCCACTGATTAGGGATCCACTAGGGAAGGTGGATCTGGGTCCTGGGTTGTAGAAGTACAAATTGGCTCTTGCATACTTCCTGAGAGGAAGGTAAGTCCCTTGCTAGAAGACTTACTTACTCTCACAGTCTTCTGAGGGCTTTTAAAAACCTGGAAATACCTTCGCTTACTTAGATCGGTGCAACTTCTGATTGCACTAGCCTTCTGAAAAAAATGAAAAGCAGAACATCTGTGAATATTTGCTAATGATGAAGAAACCAGAAGACTCTTAGTTTTTGGTGTCACAAACTAAACACTCTTCCCTGGAACCTCCAGTTAGCTTAGTTGATGGCAGGCACGAAGTTTAGGAATCTGCACTTCTGTTTATCAAATTTCCTTTCAAAGAATTCAAAAGCCCTAAAATACGACTTGAGAAATCCTGTCCACCCCTTTTCCTTACTAGACCATTGCTTTGAACAAAGGGCATTCCCAGACATAAACAGGCCATAATCTACATGGTGCCAGTCTCACTTCCCTATGACTCAGTCTTATCGTTAGCAATTCCTGAAAGAGTCACCTAGGGGTCACAGAATCAGGCAAATGAAATTATTGATCGAGCTATTTGAATATCCTCTCCCTTTGCTGCTCTAGGCAAAAATGGTGGCTAGTTTATGTCATGTGAACACAGCCTAAAGGATACTCGCTATGTGTCCATCTGGAATGAGTTGGTAAA